GGATTGAACCGTGGTCCCTGTGCTTTGCTAAGCTTGTTCTAAGTAGGTGCTTTAGACCACTGAGCCATCTCACCAGCCCCACTAGATAGGATTTGTAGATCTGCCTGTTTACAGCCTCGCAAGAGCTGGGATTACAGGCGCGTGCCACCACAGCGGCCCCTGACTTGTAGGTGCTTTAATCTGCTGAGCTACTTGGCCGGCCCTACGTTTTCCGGGTTTGTTGGTTGGTTTGTTTTTGCAGTACTGGGGAATCAAACATTTTCGTTTTTGAGACAAGGTCTCGCTACGTAGTTCAGGCTGGCCTTGAACTCATTTTATAGCCCAGGATGGTCTGGAATTCGCAGCGATCCACCTGTCTCAGCCTCCGAAACGCCGAGACATGCCACCGGACACATTCTGCCACTAGAAAGGAGAGTTGAGCGGTAACTCCCGAGAGGCCTTTCGGTAAAAATCTCAAAATCACGCGATAACTCAAAAATCACGTAGTCTCGCGTGACTGTCCGCCGCTCTCAGAAAACCCGGGCAAGCTTTCTCAGGTACAGCAGGTCTCTGACCTCGCTTTATTCAGGAGTCTGCGAGGGGCGGGGCCTGATTGAAGTTCTACGCAGGCGCAGTGCGTGCGGGGCTTGAGTGGCGCATGCGCAGTGCTGTGCGAGCGGCGGCGCCATGGACGACGAGGAGGAAACGTATCGTCTTTGGAAAATCCGCAAGACCATCATGCAGGTAAGTATCCCGTAGTAACTTTATAAACCGGGCGTGATGTGGGGTGCGTACGGTTTGTACTGAGATCCACGCAGGATTCTCAGACGTTCCGGTTCCCGGCGATGGTCAAACCATCGCCAGCCGCTCCGTCCACGTTAGCCCAAGTGTGCCCATCGCCTCCTCTGCATCTCCCTCCCGGGCTGCCGAAGATTCGAGCTTGTTCTCCACCGTTTTCCGCCTCCCTCTGCGGGCTGAGGTTTCGCCCTTCGTCCTTCGAGACCTCTTCGCAATGGAGGTTGTACCCCGAGAAGAAAGAAGGGACGACCGGGGGCGGAGAGCGGCCATCCTCGAGAGAGCCCCTGGGCGGCTTCTGCCCCGCAGCGCGTCTTGTTCCTTTCTGCTTCGGAAGGGTGGCGTTTGGGAGGCAGCGGCCGCAGTGGGGTTTCTCGGGGTCAGGGGCTGGCTGGCTTGATGGTGCGGAAACCAGGCGCAGACTGGGGGCCAGGCGTCCTGAGACTTGGCTCCGAAAGTGGGGTTCCTCCCTCGGCGTCGTGGCGCACACCCGTCATCTTAGCACTCAGGAAGCTGAGGCAGGAGATTCGCCATGTGTTCGAGCCAGCCTAGGACACATAATGATGTTAAGGCTTGAACTACGGAATGATGTGTAGGTTGAACTACATAGGGAGGCCCTAAAAAATATAAAATAAATAAAATGCTGCCAGGCCTGGTGGCGCACGCGTGTGATTCCAGCACTTGGATCGTTGTGAGCTGAGACCATCCTGGACTACAAAGTGAGTTTAAGGTCAGCCTGAACTATGTAGCAAGACCCTGTCTCAAAAAGACCAAAAAAAAAAAGGTTACAGAAGTCGGGGCTCTTAGGCTGCTGGGGGAACTTAGTATTGAGTGCTTGTCTAGCATGCATGAGACCCTGTGTTCCAACTCCAGTGCTGAAAAAAGAAAGGAAAGAAGGGAGGGAGAGGCAAGGCACAGTAGCACACACCTAGTAATCTCAGCATGCTAGGAGCCTGAGGCAGGTGGATTTCAGATTTGAGCCTAGACCCAGTAAGTTAGCAAGACGCTAGCTCAACGGAAGAAAAGGAGAAAAAGAAAAAAGTAGGTGGCCAAAAAAGAGACCCTGTGGAGAAGGAAGAGATCAGAGCCTTTCCTTAATCTTGTCTCCTTGGCCCTTTATGGATGAAGCTCCCTATAGCCTGATTCTCCATCTCCAGAACCATATCTGGAAGGTTGCTCCTGCTCTTGTCCCTTTCTTTTCTTTCTTTTTTGGTGGAACCGGGGATTAAACTCAGGCCCTTGCACTTGCCAGGGAAGCACTTACTCCACTGAGCCATCTCCCTGTCCCTGTCCCTTTCTTTTCAGGTAGCTCGGAGAAGGTGTTGAAGAAAGGGCCGAAGCTGTGTGGGTTTTGCCCCAGCTGGGACTATATTGGTCCCATCCTTTGGATGACTGTGGGGACAATAGGGTGACAGTGGTTCAGTCATGTAGCACATATAATATTCTTTATGTTCTGTTTGTGTGTTTCTTGAGACAAGTTCTCTCTTATGTAGTTCAGGCTGGCCTTGAACTTACTGTGTAGCCCATGCTGGCTCGGAATTCACAGTGATCCTCCTGCCTCAGCCTCCTGAATACTTATATTACAGGTGTGCACCACCACACTGGCCTGGTTTTTATTTTTATTTTTTTATTTAGTTGTTTTGAGATGGGCCTCACTGTGCAGTTCAGGTTGGCCTTGAGCTCACATTGTAGCCCAAGCTGGTCTGAACTCCCAACAATCCTCCTGCCTCAGTCTCCCAATGCTGGCATTACAGGTTTGCCACCATGCCCATTTTAAAATAGGCTCAGGCTTTTGCTGAGTTGCCCAGGTGGGGTGTGAACTTGGTATCCTGTGTCCCAGCCTCCTGAATAGCCAGGATGACAGGCCTGTGCCTGTTTGTTTATGTTCAGTTCTCGAGATTGAACCTGGGGTCTTCAGAATATGCTATATGCATGGCCCTTTGGATTTCTTGGTTTTTGAAACAGGGTCTGGCTGAATTGCCCAAGGGTGACTCAATCTTGTGTTTTTCCTGCATCAGCTTCCCAGAATACTGGGATTACAAGCATGAGCAACCATGCCTGGCAAGCTCTTATCCTTGCTAAGGTTCCAAGTCCCACTCGCACTTAGCTGTTTCTTTCACAGTTGTGCCATGACCGCGGCTACCTGGTGACCCAAGATGAGTTGGATCAGACGCTGGAGGAGTTCAAAGCTCAGTTTGGGGACAAGCCAAGTGAGGGGCGTCCACGGCGCACTGATCTTACCGTGCTGGTGGCCCACAATGATGACCCCACGGACCAGATGTTTGTCTTCTTCCCAGGTGAGGGCCTTCTTCATCCGTGGCTATGTAGTATTCCCCAAGGATCATGGTCCTGTAGGTGGCTTGCGTGGTTCACCCTTTTGCAGTCTCTTCCCCTCAGTCCTCATCTCCCTGCTGTCTATGCCTGAGTCATGGCCCGACTTCTGATCTACCTGTGTCTCCTCTGCTCCCCAAACCCATCCTGGATGTGCAGGTCGCAGGCCTCAGCCTGACAGATAGTCCTTTTCTCTGTCGGCCTGTCCTAAACACTGATCTGCCCTTGTGTCTCCCTTGGCAGTGTGACAGGCTTCCTGGCCTCTCTTTTTCCCTCTGCTTTCCCTCTTCACTCTGCCTGGCAAGCATCCACTGATTACCTCATGAGATCTACTTCAGGTACCTCTTCCTGGAAACAACAGGTGCCTGTGGGCACCCTGCCCCTGCTCCTGCTGCCTCCTGCGTGGGACTGCTCCTAGGTGTCTGCCCTCTTAGGCTGGGCTCTAAACCCCTGGGAGGTTGTTGGCAAAGATGTTGAGAGTGCCTCCAACACCCAGCCAGCACCTGGACTCTGGATCAAAGAGAGGTGATGGCTGGCCCTGGTGGCTCTTGTAGAGCAGGTGTCCTCTGTGTGTGAGATGTGTTTACCTGAGAGCCTGGTGCTAATCACCTGCCTCCCTCTGGAGCCATCTCGTGGCCTTGCCAGAACCTGCCTCCAGGGCCTCCCCAGGGTCAAGGGTCTCGCCCTGTTCCCTGGTCTCTGGGGAGAGTATATCACTGCTCCTGATGGGACATGATTGAGCTTTCCACTTGCTCCACTCCATGGGACCTGTTGGCACAGATTGTCAGGCAAGCAGCTTCAAGGCTGACATCTTTTTTCCATAATTTTGGAGGCAAGAAATTCAAGGCCAGGGTGTCAGTAGGGCTATGTCTTCCCCTTGGCAAGGGTAGGACACTTTCTCCTTGTGTTTTTCTATGGTCTTCACTTGGATGAAGTTATATTTTAATCACTTTTTTTTTTTAACTTGTAGTACTGAGGATTATACCCATGATGCTATACATGCTGGGCAGATGCTCTACCACTGAGCTATGTCCTTGGCACCCATGCATGCATTCATTCATTCATTCATTGTGTTTGAGGCTAGTCTCACTGTAGCTTAGGCTGGCCTTGAGCTCACTTTCTAGCCCAGGCTCTTCTCAAACTTGCAAAAATCTTCCTGCCTCAGCTTCTCTAGTGCTGGGATTATAAGTATGTACCTCCACACACAGCTTATTTATTTATTTATTTATTTATTTATTTATTTTTGTGGAACCGGGGATTGAACTCAGGCCCTTGAGCTTGCCAGGGAAGCACTTATTCCACTGAGCCATCTCCCCGGGCCCTTGTTTGTGTTTTTGAGATAAAGTCTGCCTAAGTTGTCTGGGCTGGCTCTGAACCTGTGATCCTCCTGCCTCAACCTCCTGAGTAGCTGTGGTGAGAGACGTGCATCACCAGGCCTGGTCCCTTAATCACTTCATTTACATTTTGTTTTGTACCAGGAATTGAACTCAGGACCTTGTGCTTGCCATGCAGATGTTGTGCTGCTTAGCTGTACCCTGAACCCTATATTTTGATTTTTTGAAATAGGGTGTCTCTTGCTGTGAGTTTAAATTGGCCTCAAACTCACAATTTAGGCCAGGCTGGCCTCTTACTTGCCTGTTTAAAGACTGTCTGCAAATGAACTCACATTCTGAGATCCTGGGGGTCAGGGCTTTGGGCCATCTGGGATGGCTTAGGTGGGTGGGGCAGGGGCCGGAGCGGGGAGTCCATGGCTGAGGGTGTGCCTCTGCCAGGAGCCTGCGCCAGCCCCTGGGCTCTGAGTTGCTCAGCTCAGGTGACCCCTAGTCTGGTGTGAGAATAGTTGTTCTGCCTCCCTAGTGGCTCAGCCAGCTTTATCTCCCCAGTGCCTCCCGATCCCCACCACTTGGGGCACCAACCTCATGCTCCAGGAAGGGGTCCTTGTGTCTCGCTGGGCCTCCTAGGGTCCTTCATGCTCCTGGTGCTGTTGAGGCAGCCAGCCCCTCCTGGGATCCTGCTGCTCAGATCTGAGCAGGGAAACTTGAAGCCTCAGAAGGCCACGGTTGGGGGCCGGGGAGATGGCTCAGTGGAATATGCGCTTCCCTGGCAAGTGCAAGGGCCTGAGTTCAATCCCAGGTTCCACCAAAAAAAAAAAAAAAGAAGGTCACAGTTGGCCTGAGGCCAGGCTAGACCCCCAGCACAGGTGGGCTGGGGCTGCTGGACAGCATGCCAGCGCATGTCTGTCCCCAGAGGAACCCAAGGTGGGCATCAAGACCATCAAGGTGTACTGCCAGCGCATGCAGGAGGAGAACATCACCCGCGCGCTCATCGTGGTACAGCAGGGCATGACACCCTCCGCCAAGCAGGTGAGTGCTCCAGCCACACCTCGCCGCCCTGCGGCCTGCTCTGGCCTGCCACACCACACTGTGTCTTCCCCAGCCTTAGGTCCAGATCCAGCATTGGGGACTTGGACTCTGTCCTGCCTGGCAGTGATGGGGACATCTTGGAGGGCCCAGGTTTCTGCCCCCTTTGCCTGGTGGCTGGAGAAGGGTTGGGTCCCTGGGCATATGTCACTATTTTTATCTGTCATTCAAGTAGGACTGAGCTGGTGTGCATTTGTGGACTTGTGAGGATTTAGGGTGGTGAACTGTCCTCTGCTGGCACCGGGTTCCTGTGGTCACACACAGTAGTGCCACTTTCTCAGGGAAGGGTCTCTGCCACAGAGCAGTCTGACAGATCAGAGGGTGCTGAGGTTCCACTCTGGCTTTGACCCACATCAGCGCTCACCCAAGGCCTTAAAAGTCCTCAGGCCAGGGGTGGAAGGTATCACACTGTGGAGGACATGAGGGCTAGGTACTTCCTTTCTAATCACTGCAGGGGTGCATGTGGAAGGCAAGGCTGCCCAGTTCACATGTTGCCTGTGTCCCCCTCAGTCCCTGGTAGACATGGCACCCAAGTACATCCTGGAGCAATTCCTGCAGCAAGAGCTGCTGATCAACATCACGGAGCATGAGGTAGGGTGGGTGCAGGATAGGCAGGGAGAGGAAGGGGACCTAGGCTGGGGTGCCTGTGGGGTGGGGACCTAGGGCTGGTCCCTGTGTGGACCCAGGCTCACCTGCATGTGGTCAGGGTGGGGGCTCGCCCTGGGGTTCTGCCAAGCCCACTGAGCAGGTAGGGGTTTCTACCTAGCCTGTCTGTCCAGGGGTCATCTCAAGTGTCTGTGAATTCTAATTGATGTGTTCTTGGCAGCTTGTCCCAGAGCACGTTGTCATGACCAAGGAGGAGGTCACAGAACTGCTGGCCCGATAGTATCCTTTCAGGCCCCTGGGCTGCCTATCTCCTTCCTCCCCTGTCCTTTCCTTCCCCCTCTGGGCTCCTTGAATTCCTACCCCAAGAGCTAACCAGCCTTTTTCCTGACCACTGCCCAGTAAGCTCCGGGAGAACCAGCTGCCCCGCATCCAGGCAGGGGACCCTGTGGCCCGCTACTTTGGGATAAAGCGAGGGCAGGTGAGTGGCCCCTGGAGGAACCCTGTACCCACCCACTCGGGGCTATACCTCCGCCCCTTTAAAGTCAGGGTCGGGCCGGGGAGATGGCATAGTGGAATAAGCGCTTCTCTGGCAAGCACAGGGGCCTGAGTTCAATGCCTGGTTCTGCCAAAAAAATAAAAAATTAAAGAAAAAATAAATAAAGTCAGGGTCACCAGAACCAGAGAACAAAGTACCCAGGAGTTCCCAGTTCCTTCGGCTGCCTGCCACTCAGCCCCAGGCCTGTCCCCTGCCCCTTGCAGGTTGTGAAGATCATCCGGCCCAGTGAGACAGCAGGCAGGTACATCACCTACCGGCTGGTGCAGTAGCTGTGGAGTAGCAGGTGAGACAGGTTGGACACACGGCTCCCTCTGCCTGAGGCTCCTGTGTCTTGGCCTCAGTTGGCTTCCGTCTCCTTGAAGGGCAAGGCTCACCTAACACGTCCTCCACACCTCCCTGTCCTGTTGGTCTGCCTGGCTCACATGGATGTCCCCTCTCTCTCTTGCCAGCCCCTGGAGACAGACAGATGGATGTATGGGCACAGTCTCAGTCACCTTCTAGGGAGACCTGAGCCCCAGCCTCCTTGCTGCTGCCACAGTTTCTCTCTCTGGATGAGGATTTCATCAGCAGCATCTGGCCAAGACTGCAGAAGGGGCGTGGTGCAGGATCGGAAGGCCCCTGGGCAGGCTGGCATGAGCCTTGGTCCTGGGGCGACTGCCAGGTGGGGGCCAGGACTGCTTCTCCCAGTGGTCCTAATGTGCTCCTGAGCATGCGGCTCATGGTCCCCTGTGTGGGCTGCCCGCGTGTGCCTGTAGGCTGTTCCCACCTGGCCTCTTCCACATAGACTGTCCTTGTGAGCACACTGTATGCACTAGGACCTGGGGTCACAGGTTGATCAAGCTCTCAGTTGCTATAGGATGTTGAATATTTTAAAAATTAAGGCTATTTTGAGTAAATAAACTTGTCTCAAGTACCACTGAGCCCTGGCCTTCCATGGGGTGGCATCGCCCTGAGCCTGAGGTCAGCTGGGCGGGGCCTGGCTTGTAGGTGGGCCCCTTCCCTGCTCCAGTGGGACCCTGCTCCCCTGCAGGGGCTCGGTGAGCCTTCTACCCTTTTCAGGTTAGTTTGCTTTTCTTTATAGTGTCTTTTTCTTGTGTGTGTACTAGAAATCAAACTCAGGACCTTGATGTTGCCACTGTGCTGCTGAACTATATATCTTTTTTTTTTTTTTAATGGTAGGCTCAGCCTGCCCTGTGGGTGGGGCTGGTTTGTCATGTGGTGCCCGGATAGAACCGTGGTCTCTTTGGTTGCCTAAGCAGGTGCTTTAGAACACTGAGCTATCTCGCCAGCCCCATCCCTATTTTCTAGTGTCTTGTTTTAGAGATTTTTGTCTACATGGGGTAACAATTTTTTGTTTTATTTTGTTTTTTTGATTCTGAAGATCAAACCAAGGGCCTGGCTCACTAGCAAGGTGGTACCACCAAGCCCATAGGCAGTGTTCTTTATTTTGTATTTATTTGGGCAGGGGTTGTTGTTTTTCATCTTTTTTTTTTTTTTTTTTTTTTGTATTTTAGGGAAGGGTCTACAGGGTGTTCAGGGTCTTACTACTAGATCAGACTCAGTGATCCTCCTGTTTACAGCCTCCTAAGAGCTGGGATTAACAGGTGCACACCACCACACCCAGTCTCAATCTCTGTCTAAGTGCGCCCTGGGGGTAGCGCCAGCAGACTCTGGGATTGAACCTCTGGCCCCTGCGCCTGCTTGCTTTAATCCACTGAGCTGTTTGGCTGGCTCCTTTTTTGTCTTTTTGAGACAAGGTCTGACTATGCAATTCAGGCTGGCCTTGAGCTCATTTTGTAGCCCAGACTGGCCTCAAACTCATAACAGTCCTACCTCATCCTCCTGAGTGCTGGGATTATAGATGTGTACCACCATGCTTGGCCTCTATTTTTTGTTTTGTTTTGTTTTTTGTGGGGTTTTTTGTTTTTGTTTTTGTTTTTTTTTGCGGAACCAGGGATTGAACTCAGGCCTTGTACTTGCCAGGCAAGCGCATATTCTACTGAGCCATCTCTATTTTGGTTTTTTGAGATAAGGTCTTACTCTGGTTCAACCTGGCCTTGAACTCAGTGGTTTTTAATCTGCTCATAAGGTGCTGCAGCCCTCATTCACCTCTAAAGCCAAAAGATTCTATTATTCCAGTAACCAGCCTCATTTTCATCGGTAGTCACCTGTCCCCTCCCTACCCCCTAGCACCCACAATGCCACTTCCTGTCTCTGAGTGCACATGTCCTGGGTGTTTCCTGTCTGTGGAGCCCACCCTGTGTCCTCTGTGTCATGCATGCCCTGTCGCACCCTCGGCCAAGTAGGGGTTGGAGCATGATGTGGGTTACGGTTTGTGTCTGGTTGTCCCCCTCCCCCCCCAAAGCCTCATGCAGTCATGGGGTAATTCTAGAAGTTGTGATTAATTCATGATCCAATGCTGGGATTATGGGTGAGTGCTGCATCCGGCTTGGGGCAGATAGTCTGAACGTAGTATTAAGAAGAAGAAAGGCTTTGGGTGGGGGAGATAGTACAGAGGCATAAGCACCTCTCTGGCAAGCACAAGGTCCTGAGTTTGATCCCTGGTATAGCAAAAAAAAAAAAGGAAAAAAAAGAGGCTTGCTCCCTGCCACTACAGCACTGCACCTCCCTTTTCTCTTTGCTGTTAGCTGCCACCGCCATGATGTGCTGTCTTCTGCTTTATTGTTTTTGAACTCAGGCCCTTGGGCTTGCCAGGGAAGCGCTTATTCCACTGAGCCATCTCCCTAGCCCAGCCACCTGCTTTAGAGCCAGCAGAATATGGACTGAAACCTCCACTGACTGAACTAAATAAACCTTTCCTTCCTTAATTCTGGGTGTTTCATATTTTGTCCCAGCAATGAGAAAAGTAACTGAGACAAATGTTTGTTCCTAATTTTTTTTTTAAATGTATTTAGTACAGGGTCTACAGGGTCTTTTTTTTTTTAATTTTTTTTTTTTACATTTATTTATTTTTATTTAGTGTGTGTGTGTGTGTGTGCGCGCGCACGCGTGTGTGTGGCCAGCTCAGCCCACCAGGGGGCAGGGCTGGCTGGCATGTGGTGCTAGGGGATCGAACCGCGGTCCCTGTGCTTTGCCAAGCTTGTTCCAAGTAGGTGCTTTAGACCACTGAGCCATCTCACCAGCCCCTCTACAGGGTCTTACTATCTAGATTGGATTGGACTCCATAGTGATCCTCCTGTTTACAGCCTGCCAAGCGCTGGAATTACAGGCGTGCACCACCACGCCCAGTCTAAATCGCCATCTCAGTGTGCCCCAGGGGCAGGACCTGCACAACAGGCCCGGGGATCAAACCCGTGGCCCCTGCATCTGCCTAAACAGGCTCTTTAATCCCCTGAGCTATCTGACTGGCCCCTTAATTTGTTTAGTGTGGCTATTTCCAGGTTTTGGTCATTGTGAACTACACTGCTGTGTACAGGTTCTTGCACAGAGAAGTGTTTTACTCTGGTGTGCTTGCCACTGGGGATGTGGCAGACGGGTGGCAGATGGGTGGTGATGGGTGGGAACGTGTGAGCCTCAGGCTAATTCGCATGTGGCTGTACTGTCTCACAGTTATACCACGCTGCACCAAGGCTTCCTCAGCCTACAGCACTTTTTTCCTTTTAGTCACAGCTGTCCAGGTGGTGGGGGAGGATCCCCTGGCTTGGATTTGCTTTTCCCGTCAGGCAGTGGGGTTTGGTGCCTTCTTGTGCTCCTTGCCTTTTGGATAGCAGCGTTGGAGTTCTGTGTGCGTCCTTTTCCCTGTCATCTCTGGGCTATTTGGTCTCACTCTCCTTGCTAAGTTGAGACAGGGAGTGCCCTGGCTGGGGAATCCCCGCTGAGTTAAAGCCCACAAGTGTACTGACTGCTACAGGCTGCACGGGTCTGATTCCATCGGTGTGGCCAGAAACCATTCTGAATTTCAGGGGAAATATAGGTGCAGGCCATTAGAGATTATCCACTACTCCTTCATGGCAGCTAAAGCTACTGCTGGTTTGCTGGGATAAATCAATGCAGATCTGGACTCTTGTCTTCACACATTATCTGCCAGTGACAACAGGGACAAACCTTGAAGTGGACTTTTCTATTCTCTCTCTTTTTTTTTTTTTTTTTTTGCGGAACCGGGGATTGAACTCAGGCTCTTGTGCTTGCCAAGGAAGTGCTTATTCTACTGAGCCATCTCTCTGGCCTCCTTTCTCTTATTTTTGGATTGGTTGGTTGGCTTTTTGGTGTTTTGTTTTTTTCATGATCTTGGTTTTATGATTGTGAACATGGTTTGTAATTTTTTTGGTTCTGTTCTTCCTTTTCTTTCTTTCCCTTATCTTCTGTAGTGGCTGAAGCTGGAAATAGGTCACAAATGTGGCGGCAAGACAAGGCCAAAGAGCCTAAAGCAGTCTCAGTCCTGAGAAAAACATCTTGCCAGAGACAATTCTAGTGATTAGTAATTAGGCAACCCTGTGTGTGTGGACTGAACTTTGTCAGATGTCTAGATGAGTGTCCCTACAGTGGTAGCTCAGTTCCTCTTCTCCTCGGGAGAGAGGGCTACACCTGACCTCAGCTTTTATTTGTCTCTGTTTATTCTTGCCCACATCATTTTTCCGTGGGACCATCGAGCGTCTGGTGGGATGAAGCAGTCTTCCACACCAGTTTCCCAGAGTTGGCATGAGCCTCTTTTGTCCTCCAGCCCTGCTTCTCATCTTTTCCTCTTCTATTTGTCTATTTTTTCCCCTTAGTCCCTTTTATTTATTTATTTATTTATTTTTTGGTGAGGGCAAAATTGGCATATTGAGGGCCTATTTACTGCATACAATTTTCTGATTCATATTTTGTTCTATAACCACAAATCTAGTTCATACAGTTAAAAGTGGTAAGTTAATGCTCGCCTCAGTTTGTCCTTTTTTTAGGCTGTGTTTGATGGTATTGTTACTGCTGACGCTACCATTTAGCCAGTGATATAATTGTTCTAACCAGTTCTTTCTGGTATAGCAACACTAAAATTGCATGAGGGTCATAGAGAATACTGTGCGTCAGGGCCAGAGAACCAAGAGCTTAGCCAAACAGGCACCAACTTAGCCCCAATAAATTCAAAAGGTAGAATCTAGCTATAGACTCAATACCAGCTCTACCTGGAAGACCCCTGACAAGTCATTTCCTATGGGATCTAAATACTGGCCAAAAAAGCAACTTACAGTAGGCAATTTACAAATATCAAAGGACGGGCTGGTGAGATGGTTCAGTGGTCTAAAGCACCTACTTAGAACAAGCTTAGCAAAGCACAGGGACCACGGTTTAATCTCCCAGCACCGCATGCCAGCCCCCTAGTGGGCTGAGCTGGCCACACACACACACATAAATAAATAAATAAATAAATAAATAAAATTAAAGAATATCAAAGGACAATGAAGGAGCAGTGAGGTGAGACAATCCGAAGGCCGCCCACCTGGCCTCTCTGAAGTGGTAACACCAAATAAATGAGGCTCTAGAAGAAAAGCATATCAGAAATAATTTCTCAGTTAACTGTAGAGGGGTGACCATAATGAAAGCCTCCTTAGAGAGGAGATAGATTTAAAAAAAAATTTAAAAAGGAAATTAGGTAAAAGATGGAGACCATGAATGCTGAACATAGGAAAGAAATGGAAACCATAAAATAGATTCAAGCAGATATTCAGGAGACTAAAAATTCCACAGCAGGATGAACTAATGTGAGTGCAAAATCTCAGACATAGAAGACAGCCTTGTAGTTGAGTCTCACTATGCAACTTGGACTCTTAGTACTGCTCCTGTTTTCAGCCTCCCCAGCACTGGGATGACAGGCATGCACCACTATGCCTAGTGGCTCAGTACACCCATGGGTAGGGTCAGTATAGCATGGAAAGATTTCGTAAACCAGCAAGAGATGACAAGAAATCTATC